TTAACCTACGGGAAGGGTCTTTAAGGACGTTAAATATGTAGGTTTTTTTTTGTTTTTTTTTTCGCTGGGTGTAAAATATCATGATGCATTTAGAATTTTAGGTCTCTGGGCGGGATTTGGAAAAGATTTTTACACCCAGAAATCAAAGGAACGACGAATAATGAATAATAATAATAATAATAACGGGGGAAAATGTGTGGTGATCAGAGTTCGGGAAGCCTCCATGGATTCTGATGATTTATAAAGCAGACTACTCTTGGAAAAAATCTGGGTACTGACTGGAAGACGTGATGGAATGAGGAGTTCCTTCCCTCTGTCCATGGAATGGCGGATCTTAGCCCAAAGGTCTGAACAAATGGAATAAACATTATGTTTCAGATTAGTTTCTGTGAAATGTCGATAAGCCTGTCATATTGCGTCTGGGAGAAAGAGACTGTAAAGTAAAATCCTCAACCTGGGTCCCATAGAAAAATTCGACCAATCTAAATTTAATCTAACGGTCCATCCAAAAAAGATAAGAAGATTGAGGGTTCAATCGCTAATACAACAAGTGGAGGCAAATAGTTCTCATATTGATATATTCTGAGTTTATTTAGGCAGACCAAAGCACTTGGAATATTGTGTTTGAAAAAAAAAACCTATAAAAACCCCTTACTATTTACTTTTATATATCTAAATTATTATGTTTTTATCTTCAGTTTATTTTGATTTAAAGTCCGACACAAAAACGAAAGAAGGATATATATGAAAGAATATTATGTTTTGGTTTATATATATTTATTTATTTATATATATTTAAGAAAAATATATGGTTATTTAATGCCGACAAGATTTTTAGGAAAAATTCGTAAAAATAGAATCTGTATTCTTTGGTTTAGATTGGTTTGGTTTATTTTGTTTTACGGCATATCAACCTCAATTCGGTTATTTAATGACGACAATATTTAAAGGATAGATTCGTATGAATAGAATATGTATTCTTTGGTTTAGATTGGTTTGACAAATTTTCAAGCAATCGTTATATCAACCTCAATGAGTTATTTAATGCCGACAAGATTTTTAGGATAAATTGAACGGAATAGAATATGTATTCTTTGGTTTTAGATTGGTTTGGTTTAAGGCATTTTACGGCATATCAACCTCAATAAAGTTATTTAATGCCGACAAGATTTTTAGGATAGATTCGTATGAATAAATATGTATTCTTTGGTAAGGATTGGTTTGGTTTATTTTGTTTGACGGCATATCAACCAAAATACATTAATTTTATTTGACAAGATTTTTAGGATAGATTCGTATGAATAGAATATGTTTCTTTGGTTTAGATTGGTTTGGTTTTTTTGTTTTATATATCAACCTCAATGGGTTATTTAATGCCGACAAATTTTCAGGATAATTCGTATGAATAGAATATGTATTCTTTGCTTTAGATTGGTTTGGTTTATTTTGTTTTACGGCATATTACCTGAATGGGTTATTTATTTAGGAAGATTTTTTGAATTTAAAATTTTTTTTTTCAAAAATATTTTTTGCTGGTTTGGTTAATTTTGTTTTATGAGAGTTTGAAACACCTCAATGGGTTATTTAATGCTAATTTGATTTTGAGGATAGATTCGTACCAATAGAATATGTATTCTTTGTAAGAAAGAAGTTTGTAGATCTGGTTTCATTTGTGTATTTTTAAAGGGTTTTGTGGGAAAGTCAAATATATTGACGTCTGGTAATACTTTTTCAAAAAAATATATTGCTTGTATTTTGACGAAAATGTATTTTTATACTTAGGAGTGTTTTGACCCTGGTTTAAGTGGGGCTTACTATTTTGTTTAGTTGGGACCCTAACAATAGTGTGACCCAGGGTACTTAGTAGACCTGGAAAAACGCAAATTAAAGGTGCTTCCACGCTCCAAAAAAACCTCCCGATCAGAAAACTTGCTATAGGATAGTTTATCATCATGCCAATGATTATGTTGCGCCAATCTTCCAACTAGTCGAAATAAAATTTAAAAACACCAATACAAATCTGAATAATTGCTTTTCATTAATTATATTTAGACTTACACAAAGAAATGATAGAAAGAATTGTTTTGCATCAATCTCTAATTAAAAAACGAATCGAATCAAGTATCTTGCAAAACATAATTACTTGAGAGGTCTTCCGGTGTCATTCATAAATCCTTCAAAGAACATTTTCGGGACTTCATTTAGATTTCTGTCAACCGAAACAGTATTTTCCAAATGAGCAACGTAAGGTCCGACTGTGGCTATAGTTTGGAAAATTTTCTTCGCCGAATTTGTATTCGAGAGGACTGTCGGTTAACTGCATCTAGGTCTTCGACAACAAGAAGGTTGTCTTCTTCGTTGGTCAGTTGTTTTCGATAAGTGACGTTTATAAAAAATATGAACAAGACATCGTTAATTTTTTTTTTTTCATTATCAACATATATAAAGTCAGCTCAGCTCTTTCTTTTTTAAAAGTTTTTTTTTCTCGTCATGATTGATTTGAATTAGCAAAGGCCATCATTGGCGATTGCGAAAAATTCTAGTCAAATGTATTTTGATATATATATATATATATATATATATATATATATATATATATATATATATATATTATGTAAAAACATCTATTCTATAGTTAATAGACTCTCCCACCTAATATGGTAGTCAGGCGAAACGAGGGTCAGTCAAATGTCGGACGACTTGTGGTTAGTCGACAGTTAGTCGAAGACCAAAAATAGTCAGCGACCACAACAAGATTACTCTAGCGTGATCACCAATTATATCAAGTTCGGTAACGTTTTGTGACGTCGAACCTATTTTAGGACCGATTTAGTACAAATACAGGGCCTCCACTGCAAAATAACTCACAACAATAATCCTTTGATTTGTGGTATAATCTCGAGGCATTCCCTAGAACAAAGTGAATATTCAGGTAAAATGGGACCAGAGACCTCAGTGTTGAGAATAATAACAAATCCTCCACTGACAATATAATTCGAAAAAATTTCATGGCCAGAATGCCACGCCCATTTGAATTTTCTAGCAATAAACTTAAATTTCGATGATCCACAGTTGGTTTACACTGCATCTTCAGACCAAGGGTTTAAAACAGGAAAAATCATTTAAAATGGCAAAAGAAAGAAAGATCATTGCTAGTTGGAAAAAGAAAATTTTGTGGTGGAGAAGCAACAAATGAAAATAAAGGGTAAAAAGGAAGACATAAGGGTTTGATTAAAGATATCTTAGGGTTGGATGAAGAGAATAATAGGTGAGTTTAATGAACGAAACTTTTTCCAAATATCTCTGTCAAATTCCATAAGAATAGATAAGCGGCGCTTAGAAAAAAAAATCAACTGCTCGAAGTGAATCAGTGAAGTCTACAATGAATATCCAATAGGATATTACCAACCGTCCCACGCCGAACCAAGAAAGAACAACACGAATTTAATGAGTAGAAAGGCACGCCCAAAAATTCGCCGTAGAAATAATAATAAAAGGGGTGGAAGCTGTTCTCGAGACGAGACTTGTCCTGCGACATAGGTTTTTGTTTAGATCCTCTCTGCCCGGAGGCAGAGCTTTGACTCACATCTAGGATATTTAGCTACCCCCCCACGACGGTTGCGTGTGGCACAAGGCCGGTTTAATGTGGGTTCTCTGAGCCCGTAGGCTCGGCCAAAAATGTTCCTTCGAACTCCGTATAAACGGGTTCCGGTGACAGTCTACCTCCCCGAACGAGACTCTGCCCCTTCAGCGGAGCCTCGTCCGGGTTCCTCTCTGCCCGGAGGCAGAGAGTTCGACTAGCACAGCTGGAGATAAATCTCCAACTGCAGACCAACATACAGTATTTACTACTGTATTTATGTGAATGGGAACATACCCATTATCGTCCGAAGGTATGCTACATCAATTACCAAATAAGGAGTGCGTATTATGCGCCAGTAGAAGCATTTTCTCACAATTTCAACGCAAATACAGGTATATCTTTAAAGTACATTCATAAGCTTTAATAATAATTCTTTTCAATCATTTTGTGGAATCGATGCTGAATGTTTATGAAACGAAGAATCAATCCATTTGTTCGTTTAACTGATAATCGATGTGTCGAAATAACGTATTTCCAGAATCGACAAGACAGTCTGAATTAAGACGAGGAAAACAGTCCCAAAAGGTGTAAAAATCCGTAAATTACGAAAAGAAAATAGATTTTTTTTAAATAATAATGTTCCTCAATACAAGACCCAAATGCCAACTCATGGTAGAGGGTTACTGAGTGGTATTATATTAGAGCAAGAAAAGGAAAGAAGTGAAGTTCATGCTGTTATGCAGGAAAGATAAGGGCTAATCCTAGACTAGAAGAGGTCAACATTATAGCGATTGGAAACATCTCGCCAGAGTCTGTTCCAAAGCAGGAGTTTTGGGACAGAAGGTGTTCCAATGGAACTTACTTCTTACTATAGGAATACAAAAGGAAAAGATAACGGTTAACCCTAGACTTGAAAAGGTCAAGATTGTAGTGATTGGGAAAACATCCTGCCTGGAGTCTGTTCCACAAAGCAGCAGATCTTGGGAAGAAGCTGTCTGAATGGAACTTGCTTCTTACTATAGGAATATGAATGGAAAAGATAACGGTTAACCCTAGATTTGAAGAGGCCAAGATTGTAGTGACTGAGAAGACATCCTGTCTGGAGTCTGTTCCACAAAGCAGCAGTTCCTGGGAAGAAGCTGTCCGAATGGAACTTCTAACTATAGGAATATGAAGGGGATGGGAATGACTCATTCTTGTGGATGTGACATGGTGTGTCACATTTATGAAGGTCAGGGTTGGTGGAACTAAAATACATGACATGGAAATACTGATAGAGCAGGGAGAGGCTTGGGGTGTTTCGTCTGTGACAAAAGGGTTTGGACAATGGAATTCACTCGCCCACAAGGCGGCGTAGACGCTTTTAATCTCTAGAAAGGCAAGTGAGTACTGTGCAGCTTACGTATGCTTACAGACG